GAGCAATAGTTGCCGACAACGGAACACAGTTTGACAGCAAACTCATCAAGAACTTCTGTGCGAAATTCAAGATAAAGAATTACTTTTCAACGCCAAGTTTTTCCCAAAGCAATAGACAAGCAGAAGCATCCAACAAAGTAATTTTGGATGGAATAAAGAAGGGTAATACCTTTTGGGTTGAAAAACGTAGGAGCAACTTACCAAAGGTTAGTAACAAATATGTTCAAGCACCTGATTGGCAAAACGGTAGAAGTCTACATCGATGACATGGTCGTGAAGACCAAGGAATCTAAGGGTCATCTTGCCGACCTAAAAGAGGTCTTTGATATACTCAAAACATACCGGCTCCGACTCAACGCATCAAAGTGCGCGTTTGGAGTTGGATCAGGTAAGTTTTTAGGGTATCTGGTAACAAGAAAGGGCATTGAGGCCAGCCCAGACCAAATCAAGGCCATCCTGGAGCTGAAGAGCCCGACGTCGGCAAAACTGGTTCAGATGCTTACTGGAAGGGCCGCAACCCTAAACAGATTCATCAGCAGAAGCTCAAATAAGTGCAGACCCTTCTTCAACTTGGTGAAAAAAGCCACAGACTTTCTATGGACAGAAGAATGTGAAGCCGCTTTGACCGACCTGAAGAAGTACTTGACCACAACTCCGGTTCTTTCCAATCCAGAACCAGGGGAAGAACTATATTTGTACTTAGCAGTTTCAGAACACGCAGTCAGTGCAATACTAATTCAAGAAGAAAAAGGGGAGCAAAAGGCTGTTTACTATGTAAGCAAAACCTTGGCCAGCACAGAAACAAGGTATCTACCGCTGGAGAAATTAATGCTAGCCTTAGTAATGGCTTCAAAGAAATTGAACCATTACTTTTAGGCGCATAAAATTGTGGTCTTAACAGAGCATCCACTGAAGTCCTTGTTGCAGCAAGGAGACTTAACAGGAAGGATAGCAAGATGGGCCGTAGCCCTAGGTCAGTATGACCTGGAGTTCAGGCCGAGAACAACAATTAAAGGCCAAGTTTTGGCCGACTTC